CACCTGCGGAGGATGGATTACAGTCGGGGAAGACATACAGAGATTGGGAGGAAGAAGAAACAAATGACAGTGACAAATGCAGAGAAAAATCAGAAAGATGGAGAGAGAAGACAGAGAAAGAGAGATCAGAAATGGAGTGAGGTGGAAAAGGAGTCAGTGGTCGAAGGCTCCCTGTCCCATCTTCTCAATCTTTATATGGAGGAAAAGGTGCTGCGTGGAATTTTGGACCATTTTTACACTAATTTGCTTTGGGACTGTATTAGTCAGTTTTCTGTTGCTTATAACAGCATAAGTGAAGCTGGGTAATTTATAAAGAAATGAAGTTTATTTCTTACAGCTTTGGAAGCTGGGAAGTCCATGGTCCGGGGGGCACATCTGGTGAGGTCCTTCCTGTTGGGAACTCTCGTTTAGGGTCCCATGGTGACCAGGGTATCACATGGTGAGAATGACATGAGCAAGAAAAACTAACCTCACTTGCCCGTCTGACAGCCATCAGAGCCAGGCCCATAACAACCCATTAAACCACCAACCCAGTACTCCAGGAATGGACCAACCCATTCACCAGGGCACCGTCCTCGAGATCCAATCACCTCGTAAAGGCCCCACCTTTTGAACACTTTGACAATGGGAATCAAGCCTCAGTGAGTTTTGGGGGGACATTTAATCCTCAGCAAGGACCCTGGGTAAATTCTTCTCCCCCTCTAGGCCTCAGTTTCCCCATTTATTTGTGTTTTTTAAGGCCCCTTTCATTTCTAATAGTCTCCATTTATGATTCTTTGGCTGGCTGTCCCTGGACAGAAGACACTTCCACTCCTAGACAAAATAGAGTTTATTCAGGAGAATCAGTCAATACAAAAGGTACCACAGACTATCACTCGGCTCCCATCACAAACATGGGATACACAACTTCACAATAAATTAGATGGGAGCTGACACTTTTCTTTCAGGACAGCCAGGAGGACCTTTCAACAGACATGTGTTGTTATAAGTACCTCACTGGACCATGTGGCTATTTTCTGGTGGGATCAGACAGCCTGAGACCAGCCAGTGGGACTTTCAGCTGCCGGGGAAGATCTGCTCAGACCCAGATTTTTCCCTCCAATGCCCCAGCCCCAGAGGGGAGAATTTCAAATCAGCAGCAGGGTTTCTTTGAAAAGACCCTTATTTGGATAAACATGGGCGTCTTCTTCTACACCCTGTCCTTCAAAGTTCGCTGTCTCCCACAGGGGGTATTCATCCCCCAGATAATTCGGCAGGCTCCTGTTGTCAAGCAGTGGAAGTTTCTTGATTATTCTT